ATACTGCCTATACTGCCTGGGCGCTGGCGGCGGCAATAACTGCCGGCGAAGTTGTTACTGCTGCTGGGCCAAAAGTGCTGCTTGTTGCTGTTGCCGTTGTTGAAAAATAGCAGCCTCGTGAGCTTGCCGTAGTTGCAGTGGCGGTGGTGGCGGTGGTGGCAGTGATTTCCTTGTTGGGTTTAGACCGTGGCAAAATACCAAAACCACACGGGCAATTTACCCGCTACCCTTCGGATGGTTCCCCCAAAAAACCTGGCTTTGCCTGGTTAACTACCTACATTCTCCCTTCAGGCGGTTCCCGAACCTGGTTTTGTTGTTATCCCCTCCCCTCCTCTCGGCGTCTCCCAGTCCTCCTGCCTCGCCGGGTCCTTATGCGGGTGGGGCACACACACTCACACTCACACTCACACTCACACTCACACTCACACTCACAGAGGCCGGACCGGGTTCCGAGATGTCGTCAACCTGCCCGACGGACGCAAGAAAAGGGGTCTAGTAGGGATCGACCGGCGAAAAGGGGGGGGCGAAGCGCCTGAACTGGGGCATAACCCATAATATACCCCCTTCCCCGAAGGAGGCCTTCCTCTCTTTCTGGTCGCCGCTTATCAGGCTTTGAAGAGTGTCCCGTTTCCGTCAGGGGAGGGGGAGGGGGAGGGGGATGTCGGGCCTCCTTGAAGTCGGCCGGCGGCTGAGCGAGGTTTCAGCGGTCGTCGCATGGACCACACTCTATAAAGTGAGTTTTTTTCCTCAGCTGGACCTCCCTCCATGCACGGTGGAGATTAAGCTGCTTTTTTTTTTTTTTTTTTTTTTGGGACGCGAGAGGTTAAATGGACTCCAAAGGGGGGCTCTTCGATTGCCCAGGAGAGAGCGGTCAGCGACTGCCCGATGCCTTCAGGGGAGCGGCGAGGGACTGGAATGGAATAGACTGGACTGGACTGGACGAGGTGAGGGTGTCGCGAGGCCCTGAAAGGGGGGCTGGCTACCCTTTCCCATCTGACAAAGCTCCCACGGGACGAAAGGGCTTTGCTCTTCTCTGTGCCGTCCACGATTCGACGTCCAAGGGGGTTCGGCTAGGACTGTTTGTCATCTCCTTGGCCGTATACCTCCCCGTTTCTGGTCTTGTGTATAGTTTTTTGACAGCTTTCCCCCCCCCCCCCCCTTCGCGTACATCGTCGCGGACGAAGGCGTACGCACGACACGAGCGCAAAGTTCCTTCTGTCTTCCCCCTTGGAGCCCACACCACATTGTTCGCGGCGGGGCCGTATCTTTTGTCGCACAAGAGCCGCGCGGCGCACATCATCTGCCGAGCGTCGCGTTCTCGGTGGCATACGGGCTGGGAGGACTGGCTAGGCGGCAGCCCGAGCCGAGGGATCGTGGAGGCAGAGCGGGGTTTCCTTGTGCCTGGTTTCCGAGCGATGACGGCTGAGGGAACGAGTTTTTCTATTTGGGAGACTTGGGGAGAGGTGTTCTGTATATCTGGTGGAATGCTACACAGATACATACGCCTGGGCCTCTCGTTGAGTATCCCGAGGAGGCGGTCTCACTGGCATCGAATGCCGGTGACTGGGTCAGCGCACGTAGTCATACCAGTCGCCTCACCAGAGTAACAGACCTTGACTATGTATACTTCAACCCTGCTCTACCTTGTCGCTTAATGCTATATGACCTGGCTGGGGGAACAATCGATACCGGATCCCGGCGGCATACGTGGTCGATGTTGCCGACGGGCACATCAAAATGAGACACGTGCATCGCACCATCCGCGCCTTCGAGGCGTCGACCTCATGTCACGGGGTACGCCGCTCTGTACACGTTCAGTAGCATACCATTCAACATGATGCCATGCTCCGGGACGCCGGCTGGGAAGAGGCGGAAGCGAGTGGCCTTTTCCCCCTTTTCCCCTCTGGCCGAGCATCTACCGAGAATAGTCATCTGCGATACCTCGCAGTGTATCGTCAGCAGTGAACAATGGATGGAGAGCCTCCGCAGTTGACACCCGTCGGTCCTCGTCCTTCTCGTCCGCCTGTTGTTGGTCTGGGCAATACCTGCATGACGACAGCGAGGGACGCCGAGCCTCGTGACTTAACCGCGGGTATATTGTGCGTGTTCTGAGGCTGTCGCACACGCTGAAGTGCGGTCACGGTCCGGAGGATTGCTTGGGCTCGGGGTCTCTCGAGTCTACGGGCCGGTTATGAATATGCGTCACATAACCAGGTTTGATGGTCTGTGTGCTACATCAAGTGTGATTCCCGTGGTCACGGCAGAAACCAAGTAAGACCGGCATATGGGTTTCCCATTCATGTGATCCTCAGTTTCGGTCTGTTGCTTTCCCATTCCGACGGTGCGACCTTTGACCCAGCCTCTTCTCCTCGGGGGGCGCGCAAGCACCCGATACTCGTGTACCATACGGCAGTAGCACACGCCGAGCCTCGCCGTCCTCGTACCAAGCGTTCTTTTATCCCGGCACCGAAGACAAAGTACCAAAAAAAGGGGTCCTGGCTCTAAGCTCCTGGGCGGGTTCTCTCATGGCGTATGCCTTCACCCCTTTGTCATCGATGAGTCTTGTCATGCTCATTCTTCATGGCGTTGACGCCATGGTCAACGTTCATTACGGGAATCCCATGATGGAAGCCTCTATTCGAGATGAAGAAACACGGGGGAAACCCCAATGACGGGGTTTGAACAGTGTCACGTTTGCGATAGGCGAGGGAGAGGGCGACGATTACAGACTATGAGACAGCCTCATATTCGAGATTTAGCATTCGACTGTGATGCGGAACTCAGTTTGCCCAACAGGAGGACTGCGGCTCAGGGTGTTCGGCCGGCATGTTCCCCCAGCTTCGGCAAAGAACTGTCTCGCCGAGATATCAAGTCGCGCTCGTCTACGTCGACCGGTCACGCCCACGTCGTATAGAATGCAGGGTCGAAGCCCTCAACCTCCCAGCACATCCGTATGGCCAGAGGCGGCCCAGGCGTCCGGCTCGTCCACGCGGGGTTCAACATCAGTGCCAACGAGGAGGCATGGTATATGCGGCTGCGGTCGTCGCCCGGCGGGCGCTGACGAAGGCCAGATATCGCTTTCAACAGGCACCCCTTGTACGCGATCTACTTTGACCATTGACCTCAACATCGGCGGCTCCCCGGATGCTTTGCCTCAGAGAGCAAATCAGACCCCTAGGTGAATGAGAAAGAGCAACGATCTCAGGGTCGGAACATGGCGACTGTATATATACGGACTGGGCCATGACTGTTATGCCGAAATGCCAGCAGACGGAAATCCCTGGCAGCCACTTGATCTAGTTACACAAGACATATATATTCGTGTGTCTCTGTCTTGTATGTTTATGTCTCGACGTCCTTTTGCACAAGCTGTCCGACCTTGAAGCCACCGCATACATGACCAGAAAGGTGTGGATCAAGACAGTTCCGCGTGTTGATGTAGGCTCATTGACTGATCAGGATAGGAGCGATGGGTTTACCTAGCCTCGACGAGTATCCAACTGTTCTCGAGACCCAGGCTGGGACCAAAGACATCGTCACCAGTCACGTGCTGTGTGGACGGCTTCCCGCCAAGCTTCCAAGGCCGAGGGAAAGCTGCCTGTGAATCATGTTCTGGGAGACGACACAATGTTTGCGGCGTGGTGCGGCCGGGCACCGCGGGGCTCTTGCGCAGACATGCCAGACGGTTCCCGGAAAGGTCGACCGGCGTTTGGCATCCTATACCTCGGCCTTGTTGGATCGTAACGCGTCAAGCGACGGGAAGCTCGAGGCCAACAGGAAGAGCAGGTAGATCGGCCCCTGGGACTGGTTAGATGCCCCCCCCCCCCCCCCTGGAAAAATGGGATGGCAGCATTCCGTTATTCTGTCAACCATCACGAACGGAACTAGACCTGTACTATCGAAGTGAGTTCTCTCGGTCCCCCGCATAATGTGACAGGTCATACGTGGGAAAGCCCGAACTGGACTACAAAGGTTCCCTCTAGCTCATAGCGCCAGAGTCGTCATGCCACGCACCCTCTTGCCAACAACGTCCTCGGCGCTATCGAATTCCGTAGGGGGCAGATGCTCCAGGATAGAGTTTACCAGAGGCACTCCGGAGCACGAAAGGGAGAGCGGGCGTCCTGGGGCGGCGGGCTGCCCGGATGCTTAGCGGGATGATGCTCCTTGCACCGGCTTCCGCAAGAGGATAACAACGCCGGGCCCCTTGCGTGACGTGACGAGCCTTGGAACCATGGGAGGCCCGAACCTTGAGCACCGAAACCGCGGCCCGATCTGCTCGAGAAGAAACAAACCGAACTAACGGTGTCGAACAACTGCCCGGTCGACCCTTCGTCTTCCGCCAACGGACCTCCTGCCCCGTGTGCTGCTAGTTGTGATCCTGCTGCTCAACGTCGCGTTCCTCTGGCCAGATGCAGTTTCGTCCAACAATGGCTGTTCGGCCGTTCCAACTGTCCTGGGGGAGAGGAGGGGAGTGATGTATTCCGTATGCGGTGGCCGACCGACCAAAGGGTTCCCGCTGCGCCTGTTGGTCAAACAGAGTTTTGATATTCGTCCGAGAAAGGCCTTGGACGAACCGGACCGGCCCTGTCCGCGGAGTGCGCCGTCCCAACCGGGTGTCGAACAGGTCAGTCCCGTTGGCCGGGAGCATGACCGGCGACAAGTCGATCGATTCCTGTGGCTTCGTCTCATCGCCACTTTGCTTGGCCGTCAACCCCCCCTCCCCGCCTTTCTCCCTCCAAGTATTGCGGACTCGGCGTCAACCTCACATGTCCCTCATCACGTACGGCCAGGACGCCGTGGCAAACCGTCCCTGAAGCCGGGATGCCCTTCTCCATCGTCCCCCGTCTCTGTTACTCCCCCTTCTCCAGAGAGACCCAAACACACACCGCAACCCACCAAAATAAATGAATCCTTCGAGATGGCCGGCCCACCTCCGCACCACGATCCGCATCCTAGAGCTTCGATTCCTCGGGGGGGCTGCTCGCAACCAAAACCCAACTGGCCGGTTGGCCCAATGGCAAGGCGTCTGCCTACGATCCCGCAACGTCCCCCCTCCAAGTCTCCCCTCGGACATTCGAGCGGGATGCGGTGTAACCGCAGGCCATCAGGAGATTCTGGGTTCGACCCCCCAGGCTGGTCATCTCTTTTGTTTTTGCTCCGTGATGTGGCATATTCCTCACTCCCGTCGTTCTACCAAGCTACCAGAAGCGGACTCGACTTGCTCCCCTGCGTGCTCCGGCGTCCATCGATCGAGCCGTCATCCATCACTCACCAGCCGGGATTTTGTCGTCACCCTCCGTTATCCGAATTCGCTCCAACCAGGGAGCCGTGACCGTGGCCTCCCTCGGCCTCGGCCACGACGCGCTGCAGAGTTTTCACCCAGTTAACTGGGTCTTCTCCCTCTTCCCTCCCTCGACGATGCTGCAACCTCGGCGCGTGATGGTCTTCGACGGAGAAGAGGGGCATAGCCCCTCTTCGTGAAGTATGGCCGGGAAACTAGCTGAGAATGGAGAAACGGCAGACGGGCGGGCACACAAACGCCGAGGGCTTTCCCAATGCAAGATGCCATGGGGGGGCTCCGAAGGCAAGCCAGACGCCGCGAGAGGCAGAGACGGGCGGGGATGCCTCGAGTCACTGGACATGTCACGTAACGCTGCTTCGTCCGGCTAGATTTATCAGGACTCGGTCGGACGAGGCAACCAACGGGCTCTAGAGAGCCTTCGAGGATCACGCAACTCAAGGAGAAGCCGAGCGAACCTGTCCAGCCAAGAAAAAAAAAAGAAAGGAAGAGGAAAAAAAAAAAAACCAGCCACAGGAACACTCCCCGGGCCTATCGCGCCTCTTCCTATCATAACGAAAGACCGAGTCCGAACACCTCCAATCTCGTTTTTCGTTTTCATCTTCCTCCCCTCCTCCCATATGTTGCTGGCTCGTTGTACGTTCGCGAAGGGGGGGGGGGGGGGGTCTCGCTCAGTTAGCTTGCCCCTGTCTCGCGTCTACAAGCCGAGACATACGGATCTCAGAGCCGAATCCACCAAAAAATAAATAAATAAAACAAGCCACGCCCCCATGGCATGGACTGCAACCGGCTCTGCGGGCACAAAAGCCTGAGACAATCGGAAGAAAACCCATACGTACTTGTCTATCCAGTCCAGCTCAGTCACGGAAGGGGAGGGAGAAGGCACTGCTCGTTCGCAATCCAGAATTCCTAGATGATCCAGTTTGCCAGTGGCCCCCCCCTCCCATATCCCTCCAAAAATCGGGGAGAAAGAAGAAGAAAAGTCACAGTCTTCCACATAACTTTGTCAAGTGGCAACCCGCCCAATTCCCACAAGTGATCTCTCGGTGGACCAAGGGGCGGACCCCGGGAAAGGAGGCAACAAACCGCAACGTCTCGAAGGAGGGCTCATGCAAACCGGACGGAGACAGGAGAGGGACGTCGGGGAGTCGGCGAGCGCGAGAAGCCCCCGTTCGTTCGTTCGTTGTTCGAGACCGCCGCGTTTTTTTTTTGCCTCTGTCCGCAACTCCACATGTCAAGAGAAAGCCCAGGTCTGACCTGGTCCCTCCGTGGTACCTCCGTGGCCGCCGCCGCCGCTGCTCAGCACGCGACATCTGCGGGCTACGGCACTTCTCATGGACTCGCCTCTAGAACGTCTAGAAACGCCGATCGAGCCTCTACTGCTAGTGCCCTCTCCCTCCCTTCAGAGCATGCCCCACCTCGTACGGATCCAGGGGAAGAGGCCGGACAGCGGCCGAAGGACAGGCAGACAGACCAAAAGTCTTTCGTAAGTAAAAGCAGACAGGCAGACAGGCAGACAGGCAGACAGGCAGACAGGCAGACAGGCAGACAGGCAGACAGGCAGACAGGCGGCCAGCGTCATAAAATAAAAAGACTCGAGCGGCTGGCAAGCAAGCAAAAACAGGCCGAGCGCACGCGCAGCCACAACCGCGGCGGCCCGCGACATGTCAACGTCGTGAGATCACCAACGTGCATGCACCTACTTCGGTCGGTCGGTCGGTCGGTCGGTATGTGTGTGAGGTGCGCTCGCTGGCTCGTCCGCTCACCTACCGCCTCGCGTCCGGATTTAGAAAGCTGTTTCGACGTCTGTTCCACGAGTCCTTGCAAAAAGGCCCCTCTCCTCTCCCCTCCCTCCCTCCCTCCCTCCCTCCAGAATCCACCCTCTACTAGGGCGGCGCCCCCGTCCTCCTTCTCTCAGCTTGCCTTACTCCTTTATCGTGCGACGGAATAGGGGTTCAGTTTCGGCTAGTACGATGTACAATTCATGGTGATGCCTTTTCTGCATTCCGTCGACCAATGGTCAAGAGCGGTTGTACGTGGCAGTTAGTTGCCAGGTCATAGTCCCGCGTACGTCAGACTCCCGGGGACTGTTCGAAACAGTCGTGTGCCGCGGTTACAACACAGCAGCGCGTCTCGGGGGGAGGGGGGGATTTTCACAGTTCCCAGGCGGACCATCCATCTTGTTCGGGCGGACGGATGATGCCAGTGCCTGGAAACGACGCACTGTATTCGGTGACTCGCGGAGCCAGCGTGGGCCAAGGTATGGTGACCAATCTCACACGCGGGCATCGCGATCAGAGCTCATCTCCCAGAGCTCAATGATACTCACTGCTGCCCGTTTCCTAGTCCAATATTCCCCCAAAATACCTCCCTCCCGGGGGGGGGGTTTAGCCCAGGATGCTGCTCGGGCTGTCGGCCGCGCATGGACGTGTGTTGCAGACGGGGAATGTTACCGTCTGGCCAACGATAAGAAGACGCGGAAACGGGGGGGCCAAGACGAGTTGCTGAAGTCATTTCGAGTCTCCGTTGCCAACTCGGGACGCATGGTTGGTTACATGCAAGTGTTGATCAGCCTTGACTAGATTCGGAGGCTTTGGAGCCCTAGAACGGAAATACCGACACCCTCTGACGTCAACTCGACTTGGTGAACTGCGGGCCTCCTCCCCTTCCATTCTCTCCTGCGATGGTTGAGTCGCCGACAGTTGCCAATAACGCAACGGGCACCCGGTATCAATGCATCGTACGAGACGAGCATGCGTACATGCCATGTAGTACTACTATACATGGATACATACGTACGATTGTATATCGTAGTTTACATGGCGACTGCGGCTGCGGTTGCTGCTGCGGTTGCTGCTGCGGTTGCTGCTGCCGCAGCTACGGCCGCCGCTCGCTGTTGCAGTGCCTTGCTGACGACGCTTCGATCTCGTGTAACCGTATCAAAGGCCCGTACTCCCCGGCGTCGGCAGGGATCCACCCGGAAGAGGGCCGCGTCTTCGATTGTGATACACACCGGCCGTGGGAAGCCCGGCATTGAGGCTCCTTGAGGAGGAGCCAAGTTTGGACTGGCAGATTGGGCCCGGTGCTGGCGAGATGAACTGGGCAAAAGCTCCATGATCAGCATCCGCCCGAGATGTAATATCGAAAGCAGGTTGGAATCCAGTCGGTCCCCTTGACTCGGGAACTGTCGTATGGCAGGCCTCGACTGAATCGTGGACGCTGTTGCCGGACTGCACATCCCGGACGTGAGGCGACCTTCAAACCGCAGCATCGGAGATGTAGCCTACACTACTGCCACCCACACACCCATCCGTCCTTCGTCGGCGTTATTGGCGGCTGGCTCCCCTTGCCTGGCCTGCCTGCCGAGATGAAGAGACACGTCGCTGGCTCAACCTGGCCGGCTTGGTGCTCTGTCTGTCTGTCTGTCTGCCTGCCTGCACTACGGGCTTTGCAAAGCCTTCCCTTCACATCCCGGCCGGGCGGCCAGGCCAGTGATAGCCAGTAGCGCAGAGCCACGAAATGAAACGAGCAAGGCTGGAGCTAGAGACATATTGGCCCGAACAACAGATCAGACGAGCTGCATTCCCGACGCTTCTCGCGCCAGGTGCCTTAAAAACAGGAGCACATCCTTCTCTCCCCCCCCCACTTCGAACCGGCAGAAGCCCTGCTTTGGGGCATTCCGGTGCGGGGCATACTTAGTAGTACTGGCCAGAGCAGATTCGCTTGAAGAAGGCATTTCCGTGTGCCATACGACGGACAGCCCTACCTCAGCTCAAAGACTCAGCTAGTGCGATATGCCGTGTTCGACACCCAGAGAGAGGAGGCTGTGACCACCCAGCGCCGTGTGTGTGTGTACGGTTCCGAAGCGTGCACAACACTTGGGTGTTCGTGCCACTCACTGTTCTTGGAGATTTTTCCAGAAGGACTCGCCTTGCCCCCCCCCTTCTATTCAGCGGGCGGTGGCGGCTGGGCATGGGTTCGCATACCGCTCCCACGTGGATAATCGCGGGACTGCTGTTCCAAGTGGAGATTTTGTGCCTCCTCGTCCTTGCACAGTCGTAAGTAGGCATGGCATGTACAGCACGAATATGTAGTCCGTCGGCCATCCTGACAGCGAAAACCAGTGAAGTGCTGCGGGAACAGCAGCGGCTTCCGTGCGTCTTCGTTTCGTTGCACTAGGATAGTAAAGTAGCGGCGGCCGCCGCGGCGTCTTTCTCGGAATAAAACGACAGGTTGACACAACTTGTTCTGGACAAGTCCTGTCACCGTTGCGTTAGGTCGTGCGCAGTTCCGTCGTGAACGAGCGATTCCATGCCCAGCTAAAGCCGAGAGAGAGAGAGAGAGAGAGAGAGCATTGCTCGTTCTGTAGCGCCGTCAGGCCCCTCCCCTCACCTTTACGCCTTGCAATCTCGGAGATAATTCGACTTGTCGATTCGAGAGTGGTCGGGCGGCCCCCCCCATCGTGCTACCATGACCATGCCGCATCTTGCAGGCAGAGACCTTGCTCTGGTGGAGCGATCCAAGGGGCGCCACTATGCCGTCAAACCTGCGGGCTGCTCTCGTGAGGGGTACGGAGTACTGGGAGCAAGAAACGCTCCCCCCCCCCCACGTCAAGGCCTGACTAGCGAACCAAGACTCCCGGCCGGCACTTTGCTTGTGGTGTACATATCCGTACATGGTATGTATGTACTTCTTCCGCTGGGCGGAATTCGCAGACATGGGCCTTACCGCTTCTGACGCGCCCATCGGATACGAGCGAGTCAGAATCAGATAGATAGTGCGTGCTACTACTAGTCTCGTGACGGAGGACTTATCAAGCAAATTTACGGCTGGCTAAGAAA